TAGCTGGGCTCTCTTCGGGGCCCCTGTCTGACATCATAGACCTTAGACATATTGGTGGGTTTTCGAGCTGCCATTTTGAGACCCACTAACAGAGTCTGGCGGTAGACCAGGAGCCTCTCCTTACCTTCTGCCGTGTTGTAGTCCCAATTGGGATGGCTGGGGGGAAAGCTGGCATTAATGCTGCCTGGGTCTGTGGTACGGTCTCTGGTGGGGCCCAGAACCAATTTCCAGGCTGCCTCCAGGATCCTGTTTTGCTCCTCAGTAGTGAATAGGACACTCAGGAGCTGATGGCAATCGTCCCAGGTGGGCTGGTGAGTGAAGAGAACAGTTTCCAATAAGTTAATCAAGTCCCTAGGGTTTTCAGAGAAAGGTGCATTCTGTGAGCACCAATTGTAACGATCACTGGTGGCAAAGGGCCAGTAATGAAAGGGTTGATTGCCCTCTCCATCCAGGGGCCCTGCTGGCCGGAGGGGGAGGACAATGGTGTCAGGCTGGGGGGCCGCCCCCTCCAGCTCTGTGTGGTCTGTGCAGGTCCCTGTGGAGGCGATGGTGGCTCCTCAGGGTTAGGAGGTGGGGCCTGCACTTGTGGCATCGTTGGTGGGGTGCCCATCTGAGAGGAGTAGGGTGGGGGAGAGATGTCGTTCTCCTCGTGCCTCCCTGGAGAATGGGTTTCTCTTCCACCTTTAGTCTGAGAGGGAGGACCTGCAGAGGTGGAGGGGGAGCAGTTGAGTTAATTGGGGGAAGGAAGGACTTGACCCAGGTGAGGGGGCCATTGGATCATTCAGTGAGGCCTCACCAGGTCACAATGTATGGGATCTGGTCCTGGTGGCCTGTCCATGGGCGGAAGATGTGGTACTCTACCCTGGAAATCAAATTCAGGTTAAAAGTCCCTTCAGGGGGCCATCCAACATTGAAGGAGGGCCAATCAACCGAACATAAGGTTGTCCTTTTTTTTTTCTTTACATCTACACTATTGTTATGGGCAATCATCTTCACGTCCCCCCATTGGACTAGTGTAAGATCTAGAGGGGAATATGGGGCATTTCCCATAGTATTTATCAGTCCCATCTGTTTCATCAACAAAGAGATTAGAACGAAGATCACAAGACACAAGAACGACACAGACAGACAAAGGGCCCAGAATAAACTACCACAGCTTGCAGATGGTCAGGACTCTTGGCTGTGTGGGTTCCCTGGCTCAATTGTGCCAAAGACTGTATGGATAGGACACGCATGTCCCAACAGGGTTGGGTCGCGAGGTCCTCTGAGGTTTCAGATGGACTAGTGTCCTGGTGGGGTGTCCGGTGAGGAACACCCACCCTGACGAGGATGGGAACATCTCCTGAATCCTCCAGGTTGCCTTGCTAGCATTCTGGCGACAAAAAACTGAGATCAGATGGCCGCGACCAAAGCGAAAGTATGGAGAAGACAGGCAGACAAACACAGTTTTACAAAATCACTTACCTGGCTGGTTGATCACAAACCTTTTGGGGTTGGTTCCTCTCTGGGGTCTCTGGGGGGATCCTGGATGAGTCCTCAAATGTTGTACCTCATCCACAGGACCCCAAGAAGACCACCGAGGACCCAAGACACCAAAATGCAAAAGCAAGGTTTATGGTTAATTTGGGCTTAAGCTTGGGCTCTCAGACCTTACCAACTAAACAAATTCGTGCTGAGAGCCCAGAATAAGGGAGGGTGGAGCCTTTTATAGGTTTTAGACAAAGAGAGGAGGGGGATACCGAAGTTACATTTTGGTTGGTTCAAGGAGCCCACACACGTCAACATAATTTTAAAGTTATTGGATGTATAGGATGCAGCCTTGGAGGGTCCTTATTGGTGGGTGCTATTCTCAGGGCTGTGGAATGTTCTGACTGTTATCTGTGGGGCCAGGAGTCACCGTTTTTACCTTATAAGGAAGTTTCATGGTTAATCTATAGTTTCCTGGAGCGGGAGGTAGTAGGTGGGGGTCAGGGCATGCCAGGGCATGTCTAGGCATGCCTAAAGCAGCAACCAAGCATTTTACAGAAGCTAAAAGAGCAATTGGTGGGGGTCTGGAGGGATTGAGGGGTAACGGGTGAATGAAGAGGGTCTCAGGGTCCCACCATATGAAGTCTATTTTGTCAGAAATCAGACTAGCTATACCTGCTTATTTTTTAGTTATTTTCTTAGAGGACTTTTTTCTATTGCTTTGCCCTATGTGGTGTAGATCACTGATTATGAGGTGTTCTTGGAGGCAACAAAAGGATGGATTCTGATTTTTATTTCCATCTGTTAGCCTGTGTATTTTTATTGAGGAATTGAAACTGTTTACATTGAGAGTTATTATTGACCAGTATTTATTAATTCCTGTTATATTGTTGTTGTGGTTTTGTTTTCTTAGGTCTCTATTCTGGAACTGATTATTCGTTGTGTTGTCATGGGTTTGTATAATCTTTTCTTCAGACTGAAATATTCCTTCTGGTATCTTCTGTAGCGTTGGCTTAGTGAACTTAAATCTGTTTTGTCATTGAAAATTTTCCTTTCTCTTTCTTGAATCAGTACAAATACTTTAAGAAGTGAAAAGTCAACTGTTATTCTGATGCGCCTGCCTTTAAATGTGACTTAATCTTTCTCTCTTGTATCTTTTTTTTGTGTGTTTTGTAGATTTAGTATTTTGGCTAGTATATGACATGTTTTTGGTTTTCTGATCCTGTCTCCTTGTTCTGTATGCCTCTTGTACCTTTATAGGGAATTTTTCTTAAAACTATTTTCTATTCCTGTGACTGGTAGGTTTGGTATTATGTCTGATAGGTCCTGCATGTTCTGTTCCTAGGTTGTTTTAAATTTAACATTTTCTTTGGCTGAATGATCCGTTTCGTGGACTTTGTTTTTGAAATCTGATATCCTCTCTTGCCCTTGATCCAGTGTATTGGAAATGCTTTCCTGTGAGCTTCTTGTCTGTCTTCCTGAGTTTTTCACTCCAAGTTTTATTTCAAGTATGACTTTTCTTCAGAGAGCCTATCTCTTTATTGAATTCTAATGTCTTGAATTGTTTTAGTTATTTCATTCAACTCTTGTTTTTGTTTTGTTTTGGTTTAATTTGGTTTGGTTTTTTGACACAGGGTCTCTCTGGAGCCCCAGCTGGCCTGGAACTTTCTATGTAGGCCAGGCTGTCCTTGCTTCTACAGAGATCACCTGTCTCTGCTTCCCAAATGCTGGGATGGGAATTAAAAATGCACCACCATGCCCAGCCCCCATTGAACTCTTTGTGTTTTCAGAGTCTTCGATTCATATTCTCCTACAGTTCCTTGAGCATATTTATAATTCCTATTTTGAAATCATTGATGACTACATGGGTTCCCTGCACATTGTATTCCCTGCTGTGACCCTATTACTTGAAAAGGACCTGAACAGATATTTGGTAAATAAATATAAAATGAACAAAGGTTGAAATGGTGACTATTTTATTTTCCACATAACCTTCAAGTGGATAAAACATCATTAAAGAAGACAAGTATTTCAGGATGACCACTGAGCACTCCAATCCAAACATTGCCAATGGTTGTATTTGTTCTGTACTTTGATGTTACCTTCCCCTCCAGTGTGCAGATACTTTCTTATATGCCTACTCTTCTTTTCAAAGGTCATTTTATGGATTTCTACATATAAAAGCAATGATTCTTAGTGTAATTCATTTCAGAAACAAAAGTATTATTTTTATTTGCTTGAACTCTATTATCCAGAAACAACTACATTTAAGATATTTTAGCTGTTTCTTACTCTTAAAATGACTTTTCTTATTGAGACTATTGGGCTATGGGTCTTTTATGGCATTTTACACAAACATAATTTCTATTTCTTTGAATTTAATGTTTACAAAACTAGTTATTTAGTCAACAAACTATATTTGACTGTAACTGTACGATTATTAAGCAAAAATAGTAGTGTAGTCTCTTAAACAGAGAAGTACTCTTCTAACTTATGTTTTCCCAATTTTGTATGTGTTTCCTTGGTATTTCTTTACCTAGCACTTACAAAAGGGATCAGGAGGGGTGGGGTTTAGTTGGTAAAAAGTACTTGCCAAGCAAGTCTCCCAGAATTTATGCAAAAGTAGGAGAGGATCAACTTTACCAAATAGGGAGCCAGTCTTACTTAGATTGATCATTGAGAGTGCCTTACCCTGATATGTATATTTTTTTGTTGATTGCCTCCACAATTAAGGTTAAAATGTTTGGGGCTGGACTATTCTCACATTTAAGAGGTGGGAAGTCATCCATACATGGTCCACATTGGTTTCTTAATCTTATGGCTCTCATCTGTGTCTTCCTGCCTACTTTAAATTAAATCTTATACTATTATTGGTAAAAATTATTTGGTAGCCTAGACTCAAAAGATAGTCAAAATTTTCTTACCTCCCTTACCCACCTAACCCTCTATTTATAAGTAAATAAATGCAGGTGGATGCATAATTGAACGTAGACTGCTGTGCATACAAACTATTTACACATGAGCTATCAATTTTATATGTCTCCTACTGCTCTCATAATTGTAAAATGAAACTGAATTGACATATATATTGTATATTGATTCATGAAAAGCATGCTAATGTATTTGCCAAAGACTAGTATGATTATAAAATTAAATTTGCTTTTTCTTAATCTGCTATACATTCACATATCAATGGGGAAAGTAATGAAAACACAATATGAACTTGGTTTTACTTTGTTTTGATGTGCAGAACGGGTTGTCTCCACTTCACATGGCTGCACAGGGGGACCACGTGGAGTGTGTGAAGCACTTGCTACAGCACAAGGCGCCTGTTGATGATGTCACTCTGGATTACCTGACAGCCCTTCATGTTGCTGCACACTGTGGCCACTACCGTGTAACCAAACTCCTTCTGGACAAGAGAGCCAACCCGAATGCCAGAGCCCTGGTAAACCTGGCCCAATCCACATTCACTGAATATCAACTAAGAAATCAAATCCACATTAATTGCCCTATGCCAATGATGCATGGTTATATATACATAGTTAATAACAGCTAAGCCTGTCACCTCATAAAAGCTGCCTGCCTACATCATGCTTTCATAGTTTTCTATTATGCAGTAGTGAACAAGGACAGCTTTAAGAGACACCAAAGTATTATATCTGAAACCAGTGTGTTATTAGAAGATCATATGAAACTCTGGAATGATAAGCAATTTTAAATAAGAACTAGATGTTGAAAATAAGAAATTAAAAAATAACTTCTAAATACAATATACATTCAGAATACATGTATCAAAACGCTGTTTTTTTATTAATCTCCTTTGAAGTAAAAGAATTTTAAAATGATGGATATATTTGACTAAGAAAGTCTATGATAGAAGCTTATAAAGAGTTCATTTGATGATTTGCGTTATTGACCTGACTCCTAATCATAGGCTAAGAGAAATCTGATGTGCAGTATATTATTGCTTTGGAAGCATTTTATACAAAAGTTCAAGTAACTGCTCAAGAGAAAACATTAAGAGACCATCCCTAGAGATGCTTTGTGTCTCCCATAGTCTAATTTGGAATAAATCTTCTTGCTTCACTTATGCCCTAAGTAGTACATTAGGCATGTAGTAATTTGTGCCATTTGTTTTCTAATTCTAAAACTAAAAGCAACATAAGTTTTTTCTATATGTTTACATGGTTATGCCAATTAAAATTCTCTTTGATCAATATATGATTGCCAGCCATTAAAATGATCAAATAGTGGGTTGAGGATATAGCCCAGTTGGTAGACTACTTGCCTAGCATGCAAAAAGCCTTGAGCTTGATCTCTAAGGCCACATAAACCAGGCAGAGTGGCCCATGCCTGTGATGCCAGCATTCAGCAGGATATCTGAAGTTCAAGGTCATCCTTGGCTATGTAGCAAGTTTGTAGCCAGTATGGCATACATAAGACCACCCTGTCTCAAAAATAATCAATCAATAATTAAATGATCAAATGTTAAACTTATTTATTAGAAAAAGTTCCACAGAACTAATTTATTAATAATTATCTACAAAGTGATTATATGTTCAGGGTTATGCACAGTTATGTGAAGACATTCATTTTCTCATAGGAAGTTGAAAATAGTGACTATTTTTATTGGCTAGTGATCAGTAAGCTTATAAAATATCACAATCAATTAATTGCATGTATCTTATAAGTTATGTGCACATGTGGCTACTAATCTTTGGCTTCTATACAGTTTATTACCAGGGGACAGGACTCAACAAATGGATTATGTTTATTACCCCACTGTGAGAAATGAAATCATTTCCTTAAGTAGGTTCATATACTTTCCTAAGAACTGGTAGCATATAAAAATATCAATTGATGCTTAGTCACCATTGGGGTATTCAAAACTCTTAATTGACAAGACAGTTATCACTATATAAAGTTCTTTGTTCAAATAAAAAGATAACAACTATAATACATAACAGTTCAGCATTGGTACAGTTTTAGCATGGCATTTTTACATGATTTTTCCAATTCCTGGATAGTAGCATAGTTTAGAAAGTTACAGAATACTGTATAGAGACCTCCATCTAACTTTGCCTCTCAGAAGTATCTTCTAACCATTATCCCAGAAAGATATTTTTTATTTTATGAGGACATGATCACATTCCTGGGAACTTAATCATTTATTTATAGAATAAAATGTATCTGATTGGTATACATGCCATAAAAACTTGCAATATAAATATATAACTTCTTTACATACATATCAGCATAATAATTTTTGATCATTTGAAACACTCTCTAAGAAAATAATAGCAAAGCCGAAATGCTTTTTATATTGGCTGTCATGTTATTAGATTTTAAAAGTAGATGAACAACTAATTCTCATGCTCTGAGAAACTGGCCCTCCAGCACAAAAATATGCTTAGCCTCTCCCCACCTTCTGCTCTATCATCTGACCAGTCAAAATAGTCTAAAACACCTTAGAACTTAGAAAACATAACTGCCTTCTCCAAAGAGTAGGCTCATATATTTCTCTTCACTTTTATTTCACCTCTAAACACACAGAATTACAGACGGGCTCACCACTCATAAGCAAAGTTCAGGACCCACATTACTGTTTTTTTTCCCAAATCTCAACACCTATAGGTTTTGAAGAAACCGCAGCATTATGTGAGGATGTAACACTGCCTGCCGTGTGCCAGCATGGAGTTTTGTGAGAATTGTTTCTGCATGTTTTCAACTAACTTGATTGTCTTTTGCACAGAATGGTTTTACTCCACTGCACATTGCCTGCAAGAAAAACCGCATCAAAGTCATGGAACTGCTGGTGAAATATGGGGCTTCAATCCAAGCTATAACAGAGGTAGAAAAGTGTTTCAGCTTCTCATGGAACATTCCTTCTCTATGCCTTCCTCCTCTTTCTCTCATCCATCTTCTGTCCTCTTCACTCGTTTTATTTATCTGAAGATGCCCCAAAGCCCCACCGTGCAGAGGAGTAAAACTGCTGTTGCTTTGTTCCGCAGTCTGGCCTCACACCAATACATGTGGCTGCCTTCATGGGCCACTTGAACATTGTCCTCCTTCTGCTGCAGAACGGAGCCTCTCCAGATGTCACTAACATTGTGAGTATGTCTTTGGTCAGAATAACCACTGGGAGAAAGAGTGAGTGGAGCAGAGTGTGGGTGCATGTAGGTTTGTGTGTGTGCTCATCAGAGTGAAGGACAGAGCCCAGAGAGAGGCCTTTGAAATATGCTGAAACATGTGCCAGTTACTATGTTAAACGGTGGTGCTTGAGTAGAGATAGCCTGATTCTTAGCATCCATTTTAGCCAAGAGGGACCTGAACTGCTCTGAGCACCTGTCTCTTCAGATTGCTCTTGGAACCGTGCTACTGAACAAGGGCTCGGTTTTTCTTGTATTGAAACAGTATATGCAGCATAAAATGGGGAAGTGAAATTGGAACTGTCAAAACAGAGGACTGTGTGCTTTCTGATGCATATTGATGTAGAACAGCACACACATAACTACAAACAGACATTATCAATTTAATTTCATCTATTGCAACATAATTGGGATAGTCTTTTTTGCATCCAACAAATGTCTGCTTTTTTGTCAGTTTTTTGGTTGATTTGCAAAACACAAACACACACTACACATACATGCTCATGCACAAGTACACATACACACGTGCGCCCACACACACATGCATACACACACACATACACACAACACACACACACACACACACACACACACACACACACACTATTCTGGGTCATGATCAAGGGATTTAGGCTATATTCCCAGGTCACAAGCGAGCCCAAGGCTTGGTAAGCTTGTCTACATTATAAACCTAAGATAAGATTAACTTTTTGGTTGCAAGGTTCAGTAAAAGTCATTTGTCCAGAGTATGTCCATATTGTAAATGTCATCACTATAGTTCCCTCTTCTCTGTTTTATAAATTCAGAAGTATGTAAAGGTCATTCTCACAGGAAAATAATAGAACTTCACTGAAAAGAACCTCAGTGAGGTAAGCCTTATGTTAGAAAACAAAGGAAGCTGAGAATGAGACAGCTGTTTTAAAATTCCTCTGAATCTAGGTGTGTTGGTACACATCTGAACTCCTAGGCAGCTGGGAAACTGAGGAAGGTGGTTGTGAGTTTGAGCTTATCTCAAAAAAAAAAAACACTTCTGAAAGCGAATGAAAAATCTTCATGGTTTACCCTGATTTGCTTGAAAGAATTGTAGTCTAGGTAATTTTCATTAAAATAAGCTCCATAATCAATCTTACCAAAAGATAAACCAGAGATAGATCAGTAATAATTATTTTCCTTGATATCAAAGTATCCTCTATACTGCATCGATTTTCCATTTCCTTCAGAGTTTTAACTTTGATCTTATCTCATTTGTGTGTTTCCTACCCTTGAGGTAGTGGTCAAGATGAATGGTGTTCTCTGGACTCCTTTCTTCCTGCCATTAAATGCCAGATATCCAAGTATTCTATATAATCTAAACTAGGATTTTCACTTGAAATCCCTATTTCTCTCATTGTCTTTGGTAATTCTTTAAAATCTTTTGGTCATTGTTCGCAGCAAACCATCTCATGTAAATCTCACTCTGTGAAGGAGCACTTGTGGCACATACTTAGTCAGACAGTAGGACCTTCCAGGACCACAGACGATTAAATTTTTGAAAATTTTGCATCAGGAATAACTCTCTGTCTAAAATGTTAGTGGTTATTATTAAAGTGAATTGTGCTTAAGAGGTGCTGACTACTGATTCTGATAATTTGAGGATATATTTCCATTTAACTTACAAACCAGAAAGTCCAGTTTCACTTTTTCCTGCATTCACTCCCATATTCTCATTTCTCTATTTTATGCAGTTTCTACGCTGAAGTCTGATTCTTGGACAAAGTGCATTGCAGATCTAAATTTATTTGGTTATTTTTTAAAATTTATTGAAAATTTCATACAGGCATATAATGTGTTTTGATCAAATCCACACCCATGCCCTCCCCTCCAACTCCTCTCCTATCTCCCCATCACTCTTTTCTGACTTCATATACTCTTTCTTTATTTTGTTAAATGGGTTTTTTTTTTTTTTTTTTTTTTTGTTATGAGCCAGATAGTAAATAATTCAGGATTGTAGAACAGTCACTGCCGGAACTACTTAATTCTGCTGTTGTTGAACTAAAACAGTCATAAGTAATATGTGAACATGTACACCAATAAACTGTATTTTCTGGCACTGTATCTGGCACATTGTGGCACTCTCTGTCGCCATTTTTAAATAGTTCAAAATTGAAACCGAGAAGTCAGGGTCCAACCATATCCTCTGAAGAAGTTACCCAAATTGCCAATAGGGAATTGGGACACAGACTGCTCTGGCTTTTTCCATGCTGAACAGGGATGCAGGTTGAGGCAATTGAAGTACCCCTTCAGTGGTAAAAGACTCCCAAATTATATAACTCTTATCTGTAAGGAGAAAAGAAAGTCCTTGACTGGTGCCTAGGAGATGTGAAGGAGAAGTAAAGGCAAGAGTAATTAGCATTACAAGTTCTAGACAGGGAACCAGAAAAAAGTCAGAACAGGGACAATTTCAAATGTTCATGTCAGAGTCCATTAGAGTTTCTTGATGAGAGCTACCAAAACATCCCTCTATTGGGTTCTTCCTCATTTTTCTTTTGTCTGCCAAGGCTGGACTCGAGAGTGATGGACTCAGGATTTGTTTTCAGGCACTTTGGTAGATGTTGGAGTGGTTAGAATCAGTGTCATTTCCTTCTCAAATGCTTTACCATGTGGAGGCAGGATCCAGGCCCTCTCAGGTGGTCCCCTGGGTTCTCAGCCCCTATGCCAGAGGGAGGCCAGAACAGGCACTTTCCTTATTTGGTTATTAAATATTATTTGATACTCCATATTATTCAAAAGTGAGAGTGTAAATCCATTCAAGAATTTCAGCAATACAATCCTATTCTTAGCAAACCCTAAAGACCCCACCATAGAACTCTTAGAAGTGATAAACACTTTTAACAAACTAGCAGGATACAAAATCAACATACAAAATTTTCAGAAGGTTTCCTATATAATTACCAATAATGAACATGCTGAGAAAGATATCAGAAAGCAATCCCACTCACTTAAAAACAAATAATAAACTTAATGAAGGAAGTGAAAAACCTTTAATAATGCCCATGAATCAGCAAAAAGTATCTTAAAAATGGCTGTATTACCAAAAGTGATTTATGACCAATGCAATCCTCATTGGAATCTAACATCATCAAGTCTATACTTATATTTCTTTAATTAAAGTGTATTGGTCCTAAGGTGATAGTAAATGGCAATTCTTAATTACTAAGCACAGGAGTAACTTCCTTATGTGCCAATTTGAGTTTAACTGTTTTAGAACTTTTAAAGATTCACAGGGATGGAGAGATTGCTCAGTCATTATGCACTTGTCATGTAGCTTGAATTTTATTCCCAGCACCTACTTAAAAAGTAAGGACGGTTTGTAGCCACCATGTGGGTCCTGGGAATTAAGGCCCGGGTCCTTCGCAAGAGCAGTCAGTGCTCTTAACCACCGAGCCATCTCTCCAGCCTTAACTCCAGTTCCAGGGGAATCCGAAGCCCTCTTCTGACCTCCACGGCATTGCACGACAGGGCTGCACTCACATACATGCAGGCAATACACTCATACACATAAAAAAAAAAGGCTCAGTAAGAGGCAGAGACAGGAGGACCCTTGCTGCTTGTGACCATCTATTCTAGCCAAATCAGTGAGCTCTAAGTTCAGTGATAGACCCTGTCTTAAAAAATGAAGGTGGAGAGCAATTAAGGAAGATACTTGATATCTATCCCTGGTACACACACACACACACACACACACACACACACACACACACACACACAGTGATTTTTTTTTACTTCTTATCAATCTTTTGCTTTTATTCAATCTAGGTCAGTAGTAGGGATTATTTTACTCAATATCAAATTCTCCTTTTTTAATGCTACATAATCCATTTCCTACAGAATTAAAAAAATATTTTATATGTATGAGTGTATTGCCTGCATGTGTGTAAGTGCACCCACACCATTCAATACCCTCAGGTCAGAAGAGAGCATCAGATTCACCTGGAACTGGAGTTATATATGGTTGTTAGCCTCCATGTGGGTGCTGGGAATCAAACCCAGGTCCTCTGCAAGAGCAGCCAGTGCTCTTCGCCTCTGAGCCATCTCTTCAGCCCATTTTTTCCCTATAGAATTTTTATTTTTATTTCATTTAAAAAATATTTTTTTCTTTTTATTTTATGTTCATGCGTGTATTGCATGCATGTAGGTAAGTGCACTCGTGTCATGCAATGCCTACAGAGGACAGAAGAGGGTGTCAGATCCCCTGGAACTGGAGTTATGGGCAGTTGTTAGCTGCCATGTGGGTGCTGGGATACGAACCCAGGCCTTCTGCAAGAACAACCAGTGTTCTTAACCGCTGAGCCATCTCTCCAGCCCTGATTTCATTTCATTTTTAGAAAACTGAGACATGAACAGGTTTGTAGACAGGCTAAGCACAGTGCTGTGTACTTGAACAGCCATTTTTACCATTTATTTTCATTCCACTCTTTCTTATTTGTATTCTAATGCCTATAGTATCATAGAAGCAACAGTGATATTATGTTAAATTATCATGTCACAACAATAACATGCACAATTCTATTGTTTAGGGTACTTGATTGAAAATTCTTGTAGTAATAGTTTTTGAAAGATCTTTAAAGAATAATCCATATAAAGTTTTAACTGTTTCTTGACTGACCAATTCCAAATCTTTTGATGGCTGCTTAGCTCTCCTCTGTGGACAGGGAGCTAGTAACTACAAATAGGTTTTAAAATAGAAGTAAATAAAACACTTTTATTAAAACAGTCAAAGTGGGGCTGGAGACATGGCTCAGTGGTTAAGAGCACTGGCTGCTCTTGCAAAGGACCTGGGTTCGATTCCCAGCACCCACATGCCAGCTCACAACCATCCACAACTCCAGGTGTAGGGGATCCAATGCCTTCTTCTGACCTCTGCGGACATTGCATGACACAGGTGCAATTACATACATACATACAGGTAATACACTCATAAACATGCAATAAAAATCATTAATAAAAAAACAAGGAAAGTACTCACTTCCTTTCAGCTTCTAAAGAAGCTCAAATTTGACAATTATTATGTTACACTGTAGATCCCAGATGTCAGCCATCTTAAATTTCTTAATTTATTTTATCTATTCTTTTGTTCATTATATTTTCCCCTTCCAGCCCCTTCAAAACAAATGCTTGAGAAGCTCTGGTTAGCCAATCCCTTTTCAAAATGATTGTTCATTTGACCGTTTTATTTTTAGAAGATATAGTCTTCAGATAGGAGATATCATAGAGTTGCCGGTTAAAATATAACACTGTCCAGTTTCAATTCCAGACACACAATATAAGTACATTCCATGTAGCAGTTGAAACGTGGTAAAATAATTACACATTGCTTGTCTGGAGTTAAAATTTAACTGGACACTTGTATTTGCTAAATCTGGCAACCTTACATTTAGAGGAATATAACTTTCTCTACTAAGGTGGTGTCTGTGAACTTGTGTGTTCTCAAAATGTGGGGACATAGGTACTGGGTCCAAAACTGCAAGTTCATTAAGAAACCATGTGGACATTTACTGCCTGCTTGCTGTGACAGAGTGGGGCATTTCCTGACACCAGTGTGCCCCACCTTCAGCGCCTCTGTGTTGCTGGTATCATGTTGCATTCTGAATGCTGTCTGTTGTGCTTTGATGCTTTCCAACTTGATGCAGCCAAAGTAGGAGTCAATGTAGCTGTCTGCTGAGTCATTTTTAACAGAGAAAGAGGGGCATGAGACTTGTTCCTGCTTTGGGCATGAGCACACCCATTCTCTTGCTAGTTTTGTTTTGTCTGAAAATTTGTTCCAAGTGTGACGTGTGCCAAGAATTCAATCATGTGCACATACTTTTTTTTCATGACGACTGACTCTCCCAAAAAATTTACAAGGGAACTTTGAAACCTGCTCTGCTCACCTGCCAGTAATAATGCACTTCTAAAATGCTTATCAACAACTGTGGGAGTAAAACAGCGAGCTGAGAGTACAGTGAAAGGCATTAAAAATTTCTTTCTTCTTCCTATAACCAATCAGTGGATTCATGGTTAAGTTCCCAATTTATATTATGTTTAAATGTTCCCTAATTAGTAAAGCTAAGTAGTTTACAATTAGGAAAACAAGCTGTTAAGATACAGTGCCTAACAATCAGGAAATGGAAGTTACTGAGGTAACATTATTAACCTCCTTTCTTTTTCTTACATAGAAACAATGATAATATAAATATATAAAGGTAAGGACAGTTTACGCTAAATGTCAGTTACTCCAGAATCATTAAATGAGAATTAAAACAAGATAATCATTATAAAGAAAAGAGAGACCAGGTCTCTTTTTTTCTCTCTCTCCATATGACTTCTCTTGAATGTTAATTTTAATGCTTTATATTAAGCATATAGCTCACATATCACCTTGAAATTTGTAGAAGCCAGATGACAACTTATTTTAGGTATAAAATATAAATTAGAGAAATTCAGAGTCAACATCTAATTCAGTGCTTTATAATCATATCACTTGACAGGAGTTTCTCAAAAGTAATGGGTGTCTGAGTAGTGGGAAAATGAATGTAATTATGAACCACATGAAAGCTCACTTTAAAGCTTTTAGATTTTAAAGTCATTTTGTGCAGAGACTCAGATGCATTATTCACAGTTTTCCAGAAAAATCCCACCACCATAGCCAAATTTAAAGTCAACTTAGTTCATTTGGAATGCTTTATTTGGCTTGGTTAAAGTCAGCCTTATTTTCTAGAATAGTGTGGCAAGTCTGCCTCTAATATCTTTATTCTAATATTGTGCTCTAACTATGAAATTATTTGAATAAATTAAACCCTGACCTTTTTAGTGATAACAGGCTTCCTTGTGAGAACATTCTTTTGCACCTAACCCTTATTCTGACTGGCTCCTGATAAGTATGTTAGATCTGGGTGTGGCACAGATACGTGAGGTCCTGATGTTATGTTGTAGTACCACCCCAACAGATGAAACTGTAACAACTACTTCATTCATCTCTCAGTAGCTCTGTGAAATCAGTGCATCATCAAATATGCTCATTAACATAGTAAGCAGGGCACCTCCTAGAAAGGTTAAACTCATATGGATAGTCACTTTCTAGTCTCACAAAAAGACAAGTCAGATATAATGGTTTATTTCAGACATAAGGTTTGAATTTTGAAAAGAAATTATTTATGTATGATACAAGTGATATGATTTTTTTTTTTTTTTTACAATATGTTGACTTGATCTCTGGCATCTAGAGTTCCTCACTGGATCTATGGCAGATTTTAGGTTTGTAGAATGAAAGATCATGTCATCACCCAAGCCCATTAAATTATGCTAGATTGATTCTGATGCTAAACCACAGGGTATCCTGAATGTTTGGGTAAGTCTACTAGTTTGTCATAGACTGAAATAATTTAAAATATTTGTCCTTATAAATATGGAGTGAATACAAAGCTATACTTTTCCTAACAGAACAATTATGCCTTTTCATAGATTGCAAATATCCTTGGATATACTACAGAATTTCACAAAAGGGACATCTTTATTCTTCACTGTCCAGAGCAGTGTGTTTTTAATGATTCAACAATATTTATTTCCTGGCAGCGTGGTGAGACAGCACTACACATGGCGGCCCGGGCTGGGCAGGTGGAAGTGGTCCGATGTCTCCTGAGAAACGGTGCTCTTGTGGATGCCAGAGCCAGGGTAGGTGCTGTGCAGCTGGGCTTTCCTACTGCAGTACATCCATCTGCTTTTAAGACCAGGCTGCTGCTCTTTATTCCCTTGTTCCTTTGATCAGAATGAAGTGGCCGTCTTTATCTCTTATGATTAGTTTTAGTTTGAAATCTATTTTGTCAGATATTAGAATTGCTATGCCTGCTTTTTTCTTAGTACCATTTGCTTCGTATATTTTTTTCCATCTTTTCATTTTAAGATAGTATCTGTCCTTGAAAGTGAGATGAGTTTCTTGCAGACAACAGAAAGATGGATTTTGTTTCTTAATCCATTCATATAGTCTGTGTCTTTTGACTGGGGAGTTCAGTCCGTTAATGTTTAAAGTTATTAATGA